CTTCTTTCTCTTTCTCCTTCTCCTTCTCCTTCTCCTTCTCCTTCTCCTTCTCCTTCTCCTTCTCCTTCTCCTTCTCCTTCTTCTTCTTTTTTTATATACCAGGGATCAAACTCGGGACCTTGTGCTTTTGACGCAGACAGCAATGAGGTAAATCTCAGACACATTTACTTCTTATTTTGAGATAAATTACTCAGTAAATTACTTGGTTGCTCAGGCTGGGCTCAAACATGATATTCTCCTGCCTCAGGCTCCCAGATTGTTGAGATGACAGGTTCGCATCACCAAACCCAACTATTTGTTTTAGAACTAGATATGGTGCTTGCTGGTTGTGAACAATGCGAATGTACTAAATGCCACTGAACTATATGCCTGAAAATAGTATGGTGCGGGCACTGAAAAATAAAACAAAACAATACAGAAACTACCACTGAAACCAAGCGCTGTGGTACAAACCTGCAATCCCAGAACTCAGGAGGCTGAGGCAGGAGGATCACAAGTTTGAGCCCAGCCTGGTCAATTTAAGTGATTTTAGCAAGACCCTGTCTCAGAACATAAAATTCAAAAAGGGCTAGGAATGCAGCTCAGTGCAAAGGACCTGAGTTCAACCACCAGTATCCAAAAAGGAAAGAAAGAAATGTCCATATACAAAACCCCCATGTAACCCCCACCAGATGCTCCCTCTGGATCCTCCCACCACAGGCCCCAAACCTGACACCAAATAGTCACTGACTTGCTTTTTAAAAGTGTTTAATCTTCATTTTTATTTTTTTTTCCACTACTGGGGATTGAACCCAGAGAGCACTGAGCTAGACACCCACCCTCTCCCTCCCTCCCCTCCCCTTTCTTAGACAAAATCTCATTAAGGTACCCAGACTGGCCCCAGATTTGGAATTCTCCTGTGTCAGCCTCCTTAAGTAACTGGGATTACAGGAATGTATCAGCAGAATTTTGTTCTTTTTTTTTTTTGTTTTGTACTGGGGATCAAACTTGGGACCTTATGCTTGGGAGGCTGGGAGGCCCGGGCGGGCAACATCACTGAGCTAAATACTGGGTCCTTTTGTTCCTTTTTAAGGCTGAAATCTTTTTCTTAAAAAGTGATTTCTGGGGCCAGGGATTTCAGTGGCACCATGGCTGCCTTGCAAGCACAAGGTCCTGAGTTCAATCCCCAGTTCCAAAAAACAAAGGGATTCCTGTACTGTAATCAGGCATTTATACATTTTATACCATAAAAAATTAGACTTCAATACAGTTCAGTGGTAGAGCACATGCTCAGCAAGCGTGAGGATCCAGATTCAGTTTCTAGCATCTAAATAAGCAAGATGGCATAAAGTAAATACATAGTTCCAATAAAATAGAAAATAAGCAAAGTACGGCAGTACACACCGGTCCCAGCTGATGGGAGGCTGAGACAGGAGAATCAATTGAACCCAGAAGCTAGAGATCAGCCTGGACTACATGTAAGAACCCATCTCAAAGCTTAATACTGATGCACAATTTATTTATCTGTTTGTTTTTTCAATGTTGGGGGATGGAATCCAGAGTCTCGTGTAAGCCAGGCTAGTGCTCTAACACTGAACTATTAGATCACACAAATGTTTTTTTATTACCATAGATGGAACCCAGGACCTTTGCACTAAGCTATATCCCCAGTCCTTCTTTCAAGACAGGGTCTCACTAAATCAATAAGGTACCCAGGCTGGGCTCAAATTTGCAATCTTCCTGCCTTAGCCTCCCATAGAGCTAGGATTACAGGCTTGCACTAGGTTATACAATTTTAAATAAGTATTTTAAATGTAAATTTAAATATTTCAAAGAAATGTCTGTGTATGATAATAAGAAAAATATACTTAAAGACTTCAGGAGGGGTGTTGCTGGCATAAACCTGCAAATCTATCATTTGGAAGTGTGAGGAAGGTGAACCTTTAATTTGAAGCCAGCCTAGGCTAGTGAGTTCAGGGTTGGCTAGGATTAACTACACAGCAAGACCTGTTTCACAAAACCAAAATAGTACAATAATAATAAGCCAGCCAGGGTGGTACATGCTTGCAATCCCAGCACTCAAGAGGCTGAGGAAAGAAGATTATTGTGAGTTCAAGACCAGCCTGGGTTGCATAGTGAGTTCAAGGCTAGCCTTAACTACTTAGTGAGACCCTGTCTCAAAACAAACACTGTCCCCGCAAAAGTGTCAAAAAATAAAAAATTTTAAAAGTAAAAATTGCGAGATATTAAAAATCAAGTTGAATATGTGGGTTCCTCAAAATGCTAAAAATAAGAACTACCATATGTTCTAGCGATCCCATTCCTTGGTACACATGCTAGATCAAGTCAGCATAATGTAGCCATCCCTAAATACCCATGAATAGTGTGGCACCATCCAAAATATGGAACCAGCCTGGATGCCCATAAAAGGTGGCTTATATTCATAATAGAATATGATTCAGCCACTAAAAACTAAATAATGTCAACTGCAGGAGAATGAATGGAACTGGAGACCGTCACTTAAGCAAAGTAAGACAGAAATGAGAAATGTAAGAATCCCATGTTTTCCCTACTACTGCATATGGAAACTGGGGAGAGGGGGATACAGGAAAGACACCGGAAGGGGAATGGAGGAGGGGTGAAGGTATTGTAAACAGCTAAACTAATTAGATATGTAGTAGGCAATTAGATAGGGATAGGCTCTCCAGGCTGGAGGGAGTCAGTGCAGAAGACAATTGAGGCCTTCTACTCAAGGCCAAGACAAAAAAAGAAAAAATATTACCCTTACATACTTCCCCTAGACAGCCGGGCGTGGTGGCACACACCTGTAATCCCAGCACTCAGGAGGCTGAGGCAGGAGGATCACTGAGAGTTTGAGACCAGCCTGGGCTACATAGTGAGACCCTGTCTCAAAAAAACAAAACAACAAAACAAAACAAAACAAAAAAAACAACCATATTTCCCCTAGGAATGAAAAGCAGTAATTGATATTCTAAATAGACAGGGCGTGGTGTTACATGCCTGTTATCCCAGGACTTGCGAGACTGAGGCAGGAGGACAGTTCAAGGCCAGCCTGGGCTACACAGTGAGTTCACTGAGCTCACAGTGAGCCTGAAACTACAAAGCAAGACCTGTCTCAAACAGAAAACAAAACAAAAACCCAAACAAAAAAGATTTAAAACGTCAAATGTTTAAAACACTAATTGCAGCCGGGTGTGGCGGCGCACGCCTGTAATCCTGGCTCTTGAGAGGCTGAGGAAGGAGGATGGCTGCGAGTTCAAACCCAGCCTGGGGCTACATAGTGAGTTCCAGGGCAGTCTGACCTACATACTGAGACCCTGTCTCACAAAAACAAAACCACTAACGGCTTGCGCAGAACATACTGCGGTAATCTAGGCGCACACAGTGAGCCCGTCCCCTTCTCCAGGAGCTGAGGTAACAGCACGACCTGGCCCTGCCCCATACCTGCGCTGAGGCAGCGCCGCGGACAGCTCGGCCGCCTGCGAGGACCCCAAGGCCTTTTTTTTGGGGGTGGCTCCCGGCTCGCTGTGGCCGACGCCCGAACAGCTGCGCGAACTGGAGGCGGAGGAGCGAGAATGGCACCCGAGCCTGGCCGCCATGCAGGAGTCGCTGCGGGCGAAACAGCTGGCGGAGGAACAAAAGTGTAGGCAGAGGTGTGTGCGCGCGGTAGGGGTGTGCGGGACGGGAAACGCGGTCATGCGCCGCACAGGGTGGCTCCCGGCTCGCTGTGGCCGACGCCCGAACAGCTGCGCGAACTGGAGGCGGAGGAGCGAGAATGGCACCCGAGCCTGGCCGCCATGCAGGAGTCGCTGCGGGCGAAACAGCTGGCGGAGGAACAAAAGTGTAGGCAGAGGTGTGTGCGCGCGGTAGGGGTGTGCGGGACGGGAAACGCGGTCATGCGCCGCACATTATCCTGTCCCAGGTGTAACAAAACAGGCAAAATGGTTTCAGACAGCAATAGGATCGTTAAGACCAGAAAACTGGGTAGCCGGGCTTGGTAACGCACGCCTGTCATCCCAGTACTCGAGTTCAAACCCAGCCTGGGCTACTAGCAAGACCCTGTCTCAAAAAGTTAAATAGGAAGTCGGGCATAGTGGCACTCGTCTGTAATCTCAGGAGGCTGAGGCAGGAGGATCGCTGTGAGTTCGAGACCAGCCTGGGCTACATAGTGAGTTCCAGGTCAGTCTCAACCACATAGTGAGACCCTGTCTCAAAAACAGACAGACAAACAAAACAAAAGAAACCAACTAAGAATATAAAACAGGCTGAAGAGGATCCAGAATAGGCTTCTGTGAAGGGATATTTAACCAGAGCTTTGGATAACCTGACATCGTTATGGGTTTGTCTCAGGGAGGGGGTTGCTCAGAGGAAGCAGCTGAGCAGAGGCCTTGACTTTAAACAGTGCTCAGGACCTGGCTTAAGGCACAGCCAAGAGGTCACTGTGACTGGGGAAGAGTGGAAAGTGAGGACAGTGATTGGGCCTGGACTCTGCGCAGAAACTGGCTTTGGAGGCAATAGAGGGATTAGCCATGCTACTTTGGGAGGCTGAGGCAGGAGTACTGCAAGTCTAGCCTGGGCAACTTAGCAAGACTCTCTCCAAGAAAAACACAACAAAAACCGAATTAAGAGTGGTGGCAAGACCAGGAGCATCTGGATGACTACTTCCTAGGGCTAAGGGGCCAGGTCAAGCATATCCTGGTGTTTAACCTTGTCCCCCAGCAGCCTTGAGAACTGCAGGATCACCTTCCATTCACACTTGGGATGCAATCAGCTCACACGCGGTAGACAGGTGTTGCACCACTGAGCTACAGCCCCAGTTTAGGGGGGAAGACGGTCTAGCAGCCTCCATAAGACAGGCCTAATGTGGCCAGATGTCTAGTCAGTGACCGAATGTCTGAGCTGAGGGATCCTGACATGGGAGCTTGGTCATTTGTTTCCCTTTTCTAATTCTTCATATGTGGCTGTGACTGGTATTACAAATTGAGGCTTGGAAGGAAGTGGCCAATCTGTTGGGTTTTGTTTTTGAGATAGGGTCTGTGTATCCCAGGCTGGCCCTGAACTCATTGTATTGCTCAGGCTGGCCCCAATCTTGGAATGATCCTCCCACACGCTGGGAACACAAGTGTGCGCTACCACACTTGGCTTCCAGTGTTTCCTGCCTTCATTTTTTTTGTTTTTTGAGACAGGGTCTCACTGTGTAGTTGAGACTGACATGGAACTATGTAGCCCAGGCTGGTCTCAAACTTACAGCGATCCTCCTGCCTCAGCCTCCCAAGTGCTGGGATTACAGGTGTGCGCCACCACGCCTGGCTCTGCCTTCATTTTTGTGCCAAGAACTAGGCCAAACATACAGTCTGTGGTGTCTGTGAAGCATACAGTAGGTGCTCTGTGAAGCTCAGCCACGAGTGGTGTTCCAGGGCAGTGCCTCTAGATGATGGCTCAGGGGACAGCTCAGCGACATAATCAGGCTGAACTTACCATACCATGGACTACAGGAGAGCCTGGATCTCTGTGCTGGTGTTGAAGCACTTTTCCTGCCAGTTGGTAGCAGAGATAAGTCTTCCCAGCTGTCACGTTGGTGGGGAACTGGGGCAGGCTGTAGATGGATGGGTGGCATTCTACCCTCCCTCCCCACAGGGAGCAGCTCATCGCTGAGCGCATGGCCAAGATGCCACAAATGATTGAGAATTGGCGGCAGCAGCAGCGCGAGCGCTGGGAGAAGGCACAGGCAGACAAAGAGCGCAGGGCCCGCCTGCAGGCTGAGGCCCAGGAACGCCTGGGCTACCACGTGGACTCACGGAGCACACGCTTCCAGGAGCTGCTGCAGGATCTGGAGAAGCAGGAGCGCAAGCGTCTCAAGGAGGAGAAGCAGAGGCAGAAGAAGGAGGCCCGAGCTGCTGCCATGGCTGCCAGCACAACCCAGGACCCAGAAGCCTCTGGGATGGCCAGCTCCTGAGCTTTCCCAATAAAGCCTGCTGCCCAGCAGCCCCTCTGCACAGGACTCTGCGTCCTTTCTCCAGGTGCCTCCCTCAACACCTGGGGTTGGGACTTCCCCAGCCAGCTTTGTTTGCATGGGGAGCCTGGCCCTTGTTGTTCTGACTAACTGGGGCTTCAGGGGAGGAAGGGATGTGATGGGCAGATACAGAGGAGCAGATGGCAGCAGAGAAGAAGGCTCCTGTTTACCAACATTAATCTCCAGTAATTAGCCAATTACTAGGGGGAGGTTCAGCTCAGACAGACTGTAGTGATCACGGTACGGGGCTGGGAGAAGCAGTCCTTCCCTTGCTGACTGAGGCAGGGACCCCCTGCCCTGTTCCACAGTCATCCATCTCCAGGACCCTGCTGTCCCCAGGCCTGGGCAAGCCAGCACGGCACAGACCATTAGGGCTCGTTTTTAAAACTTTATTCATTTCAAAACCTTTATCAGAGAGACAGTTCTGTTCTGTGGCAGGGGCAGGCTTGGCCTCCAGAGCTCATGTCAGGCTTGCTTCCCCAGGCTGAAGGCCAAGGCCAGACTTGGGTGGGGCCTTTGTGGGTTGCCCCAGATTCCGGCCACTCCAATGGAGATCAAAGTTTGGGGCTCCACCTTCCCCTCATCCTGGAGGAGGGCAGGTTGGGGAGCAAACAGCTGCCTCTCCATCTGGCTGAGGGAGCTGGGACAGAGGCCAAGAGGGGCCCATCTGTTGCCTCTTGGCCCTGCCAGCAAATCCAACCAGGCTGGGCTGGGGCGATGGGGACAGCTCTCTGGCCTGGGTCCCCTCAGACCAGGATGGAATGGGGGCTACTTGAGAATGGGAAGCTCGCCTGTTTTGTTTTTGTTTTTTTTTTTTTAA